AACGCGCTTAACGGTGCCGCATGGGAGTTGGAAAAGGGAGGGGAGGGGTGTGTAAACTGCATCCTTGAACCCGCACCCTGGGTTAGGTGTTTCCTTCCCGTCGTGCCATTCATGTCGTCTTTCACTACTGCATGTATCTGGGCGGGAAACAAGGATGTGGTGAGCCCTATACAGGGTACTAGAGGACATCTGACGTCCTGTTTCCTCTGATTGCCCAGCTACAAAGGTCTTGTATGATTCTAAAGGCCATTGAAAGGTTGCTGATGTTTACGCTTGCAAGCTTACTCCATGCCCATTATTTTCCCTCCTCTTTCAACACGAAGCTTCATCGATACCCAGGACCCAAAGGCACTTGCTTCAGTGGAGAACTTGGGTATAAGTGAACATCCTGCATGGGAGTTGTCCTTGATCGGGAAACTCTAAGTGCCCTGACGATGGATGTCGAAGGGGGGGAATGACGAGCCAAGCTGTTGTGCCGCCCGCAATGACGTAGGGTGCGTGCGCGCACGCCGCCGGGGCCGGGCTCGCATGCCGGGCCGCCGCTCCACAAGCCGACGGGAAATATGGGGCCGGAGCAGGGGCTTAAATCGCCGGCGAGAACAGGGAGCGGCGAGCCCTGCAAAACCCCCCAACGATGGGGTTCAAACTGAATGAAACTGCCAGACATTCTGAGCAGTATTCAGTTATTGTGTGCTTTTGCAGCTTTTTCTTCGACATCACAGTAGAAAGAAAAACATGGGGTGTTGCTTTACGAGTCGTTCGGTACATGGTTGGCTGGGTGTGGGTGGGTTGGTACCCGGGCAAAGTACCCGTTTCTGCCAGGGAATTTGACGCGGTATGGCGTAGGAGGTTTCCGAATGGAGGCAAGTTGAACGTGTTGGCGCCCCATTTTGCGACACAGGATCCCATGAGTTTTCTGCATTACCCCTCAGGGGAATTATGCACATTGTCATGATGTTCTCAATTTATACAGTGAGTTGAAGCAAGACTTGTACACTTCGTTTCATTCAGTTATGTGGCTCGTTTTTTTCTCGATCCTAACCGCACACCATCCATGAAATCATCTAACAAACGTTAGCAATGCAAATTTGGCCTACTCAAATATGGCCTTACACTTTAGACCGACGTAATCACACATTCAAGCGCACATTTACAGAGTGAATGGCAGGATATGCCTTCTATTGCTACACGCTGAAGAGGCGCCTTTTGATCAGACAATCTCTGCTGCTTGGGTGATTGGTGTTACACGATATCGATTTCTTCCTCTCACCTTCCTCGTCGCCCTCTTTAGTACTGGATAATTTCCGGGCCTGACCTTGTGATACCGTTAATGAAGATCTTGCTGACCAAGTCGCTCTGGTGCGCCTCGATGATCTCCTTCAGCGCCTCCCTCTCAATCACCACACGTCCCTCCTCCAACAGGTCCTTCACATCCACGTCCTTGACATCAAGACACCTTCCATGGTCACCCGCCGCCAACATGGTCCTGGAGAGCCACGGCTTCTCTCCAGAGGTGACAAACAACGTCCGGCCGTGCTCCTTGCCCCACTGCTTGGCCTCCAGGAGCTGCAAGATCCATTTGCGGCTGTACTCCTCGTCCAGCTTGGGCGGCATGCACCGGGCCTCGACCAACGAGGTGAAGTCCCACGGCATCTTCAGGTCCATGCCGTTCTCGCAGACGATGAGCTCTCCGCGGCGGTAGCGGTAGCTCAGGGCGGTGCGCCACGCGACGTCGTAGACCTTGCGGTTGAGGCGGGTGCTGAAGTCGCGCGGCTTCGGGCCGTGGGCGACACCTCCGCCGACGCGGATGGGAGACTGCCTGGTGCCGACACGGGCCTTGCCGGAGCCCTTCTGGGGGCGCACCTTGCGATGCGAACCGCGGACCTCCCATCGCGTCTTGGTGCTGGCCGTACCCTGACGGGTCTTGTCGCCCTCGTAGACGACGGCGAGATGGAGGAGATCGCGGCGGAGGGGGAGGAAGAGGTGCTTCGGCGAGTAGACGTCGAGGGTTAGGGGCTCGAGGTCCGGGAAGGCGTGGATCGTGACCGGGACGGAGGTGGCTGCAGAGGGCCTTGTTAGCAATTGCTTCCGTGGTGTATGAGCGAGGGGTGAGCGGGCAATGCGTACTTGGTGCCCAAGTATCGCTGGGCCTTGAGATCGCCGACGTCGTGATGTTGGGCAATGGCGCCTCGCTGGCCATTGATCTCGTAAAGTTCGATGAGCCGAGGAAAGATGTTGGCCTCGTCGCTCTGCAAGCCTGCGATGAGACCGCCAGACCTCTCATGGCCTCGGTGAGGCTCCTGACTCCCCTGCCGGCCATTGTGCGAACGGGCGACGGCTTCGCAATGGAAAGGAGACTCGGGGTTTTGGTTGATCAAAGATCCGTTTCCGCGGGGTGGTCGTCCGTCGTCGTCAATTTGGAGATTCGACCGGATGGCCCTTTGGAGGAGCACGAAAATTTGGCCCGTCTGTCGGCGCCTCACCAATCAGACAGCGCTAAAAGCCGGTACGTGCAGCCGTTAGAGGTGGGAGCTCTGCCCGCTGGGCTGTCTCCCCCCGGGGCGGGATATTCCGTGCATTCAATTGGAAAAATAATTATGGAGACCCGCAAAGTGCGTGCCATCCCGCCGAAGCTGGGTGAAAAACCTCCTTCGCCGTGAGAGCGCCTTGTCGTCGAGACAAATCACCACCCACATCCACGCTCCACCGCCCACACAGCCCGCACAATGTCATCGTCGTGTAGGCAGGCCGTCCGGCCGCTGCGGCGATGCCTGAACAGCGCCACAACGACGACTTTGCCGATACGGAGGGGCATCTCCACGACACCGGCACCGGCCGCCCAAGTATACAAGGTGGTCCGCGAAAGACCCGAGACGGCCGACCCCCTCGAGCTGGATCCCAACACGGCGGTGGCCCCCTGGGCCGAGAAGGACCTTTGGAAGGCCGGCACACCACCCGTCGGTTCGCGACGTCGCCGTTACGCCATCCGCACGAGCCAGAACCTCCCCTTCGAGCAATTGCCCTACCAGGCTTTCCAGGAGGCGCGCAAGATTCTCGCGGCGGACCGTGAAGAGAAGTTGGCTGCTATTGTTACCGAGTCGGCCAAGATCAAGAGGCTGGAGGCCATGGACCCGAAGGATGTCAGGGGTGGGGAGCGGATGCGCCAGATGAAGCTGAGCAGTCTGCGCAAGCACGTTGAGAAGCTCAAGATTCTGGCGGATATAAACGACCCGGCAGTCAAGAGGCGGTTCGAAGATGGTCTTGGTACGGCTCAGAGACTCAAACCGGACCTCTATGTGTTGCATTGGGTGCTAACATGGCATTGAACAGGCGACATGAGCAAGCCCATCTACCGCCACCTTGCCGAGCGCAAGTGGCGCGGCTACGAGTCCAAACTGACTGAGCAGCGTATCGAGCAGTTCAACATCGTCCCCGACATTCTCCCCAAGCTCACACCCTCCTACGACGTCCAGCTCTGGTTCCGCCGCTCAAAGGTGCCCCCGGGCAAGATCCTCCCCAGCAACGTCACCGAGGTGGCCCCCAAGCTGCGGGTGACCCCCTTCACCGCCGGCGAGCGCCTCGTGTCCATCGTCATCATGGACTCCGACGTCCCCAATGTCGAGACGGACGGCTTCAGCAAGCGCGTTCACTACATCGCCGCCAACGTCCCCGTCTCCCCCACCAACACCTCCATCCCGCTCTCCAAGCTGCGCGACCCCTCCCAGCTCGCCGTCCCCTACCTGCCCGCCTTCGCGCAGAAGGGCAGCCCGTACCACCGCCTCTCCATCTTCATCCTCGAGCAGGGCGACAAGCGTCTCGACACGGCCGAGCTGGCGAAGCTCTACTCCGGCCGCGACGGCTTCTCCCTCAAGTCCTTCCGCGACAAGTTCCGTCTGAACCCCGTGGGTTTCAACATCTTCCGCACAATCTGGGACGAGAACACGGCCGGCGTCATGGAGCGCGCGGGCGTCCCGGGAGCGGACATCGAGTTCCGCCCCACGCGTGTCTACTCGCTCAAGGAGCCCAAGAAGGCCCGCGGTTGGGAAGCCAAGCGCCAGGGTCCCAAGTACAAGCACCTGTGGAAGTACACCAAGCGTATCAAGGGATACTCCAACGCCAAGGGTCTCATCAGGAAGAAATGAGGGGCGCGGATGTTCCGGGGAGAGTGAGGAGGCGGGAAGTGCATCTGGCGAGGGCAAGCCAGGAAGATATGACGCAGCGGATGCTGAAACCATTGTGGACGTTATTAAAAAGTGTAGAATATATGTACTCTATGTGTCATCATCTGGCTGTAGATGGAAGCGGTCCACGACTGCGGTTGGTATAAATCACCTACTATTAACTCCACATTGTGCTTCATGGTTCGCTGCGGAGTAGGTCACAGGATGAAGATGTGAAGCAAATCATTCGGCTGTGCGCATTAAAGCTGTTTTATTGATCTGGTAGAGGCCACCTCTTTCTGATAGGAAGGGACCAGAATGAATGACAACTCATGTAAGATGATTCGGATCACTGGCCACATTTTGTGTACAGTTGTCGCCGGGACCTTGAAAATGAGTTCCTTACGATTAATGCCACAAACATATCTTCAGCAACCGAAGCTCCTTTAGAGCCGATACTTTTACGGTCACATGTCGCTGATTGAGCACTGTATTTGAGAATAGCAAAGTAATACTGTGGCATTAACTGTTGTGTTGCTGATACGCGATGCTTCATAACGGTAAAATGTGAAAGCAAAAGAGTTCTGAGCCCATTGATGGAACGTCAACTCATCATAATACTACTGGAGTCGTAAACCCAATGCAGTAATCATAACACCCAAAACATCATCATCGTGATGCGTTGCAACGCCTTCCCATAGAGTATCACATGCTTGTGCTCTTGTATGCAGTCCCAAAAAAACAAACAAATCACGCGAGTCCTCGCGATGCTGTTGCGTGATCGAATCTCCCATCCCTCTAGGTCGATGCACAAAACAATATTCCATTAAATCGGGGGTATCATTGCCGTCTGGCATCTTCTGCGGCCTGACGAGCGCGCATATTGGTTTCCCACGTGTTCCAGTCGTCGTAATCCGTTTGCTGCCGAGCCCTTGGAGAAGGTCGAGAGGGCGTGCCCAACAGGTCGCCAAACTCAAGCTCCATGTTGGTGATGTCGAAGTTGCCAGAAGCATTCATGGTCTCTGCCAGCGCTCGGTTCATAGCCTCGAGCATGTCAGAGTCGTACTGGTGATCCATTGGCTGCGTTTGGAGGTACTCTTCAAGCGCCATCTCCATCTGAGAGAAGTCTTCTTGATGCAGGCGAGGACTTCTTCGAATTGGGCCCTTAGCCGATCGAGGTGTCCGCGTAGGAGTGCGCCGAACGGCCGCAGGAGACCGAAGCAGATCCAAAGAACGAGAAACGCTTCGAGTGACGCTCCTGGTGATCGGCCGGTGACTGGGGGTTGGCCGTGTGGGCGTTTTGAAGGGGCCATTATTAGGGGCCGTGTCGCGAGGAGGGGGCGTAGATGGACGAGGAATCATGGGGCTTCGGAAAAGATCTTCGAGATCATCGTCAGGAATTGTGAGATTTTCCTTGTTAGCACCAGTGGCTTCAGGCATGTTGTCCTTGCCAGGACCCTTCTCAGAGGCCTTATTCTGTGCTGTGTTGGCAGGGGCCGTAGACTCCGGTGCGGTTTGCACAATGTTAATGGCCAGCTCACCCAAAATCTTCGGAGCGCCTTCCTTTCGTGGAGAGGGGAACAGCAGTCGTCGAGTTGAGCCCATATTGCTGTGGCCTTCGTTGTTATCAAGCGTGATTGGGCTCTTAGCCGTGCCACTGCCTCTGGAATGAGTAGAGCCAGCGTTGGAGGCATTCCCAGGCGACGCAGGGCGGGAGTCTTGTTGGTCTGGTTGCTGAAAGAACAGATCACAAGACTCGTTGGCATTGCTGACTTGAGAGGCGCCTCGAGATCTGCTCTCATCATCCATCGGTGAGATTTCCTGGTCGTCAGGCCCAAGAGGATCAGTCGGGAAGTACGCCTCAGATGTCGGGTTCATTTGATTTGGTCCGGATTTCTTTGTTCTGGGCGGTCGTGGGGCTCGTCCAGTTCCACGAGGTCGCCTTTGCTGATTGAGGCGACCCCTGTCCTTCTCCCACTTCTCTTGCGGCCGATGCGCCTTCCACTTGGACAACCAGATGCCGCAAGGGTTGCAAAGCATGTGTCCTTTCCACTCAATTTTGTTGTCGTCACGGCCCAGCGCCTTCTTGATGACCTGGTATTTCGTGGGCTTTTCCTCGGCATCACGGTCGAGCACCAAGATAGCCGTGACTCTTCCAGGTTTGTCGGAGAACTCGGTAAACTCCGGCACTCCTTCATGTTCTTGAGTCCATATCTTCCGCCAAGTCGGAGTTTCAATGGCACCGCAGTTTGTGCAGTACATCGGAGTCTGTCCATTCTCAATCGCCTGCAATAACTTCTCTCTAATAGCCTGCTTCTTGACGTAGTTCTTGTTCGTCCTCGAAGATTGCTGAGGGGACTTCGGAGCCTGTAGCGCATCACTAGGCGGGCAAGGTGCCTCCGAAAAGGATGTAATATCCGGTTGAGAAAGGGCAGGCAGAGCCAGTGGACCGATCGGATCACTGGCAGGGACTGTGGGTAGAGCCAGGGAAAAGCCCGAGGATTCGGAGCGCTGCAGTGAAGGGGGCGCAGAAGGCCGGGCGAATAAATCAGCCTCATCCGCGGCCTTTTGTGGCTCTGGAAGAGCCGGTTCAGGCAAGCCATGTAATGCCTGGGCCAGTTGTTCCAACGCAATGTCGACGGTGTCGATCGGCTGCGAGTTCTCTGGCTTAGGAGCAGCTTGGACGTCCTTCTCGGCGTCTGCTTCAAACGCCACAACCGGCTCCTCTTGTTGTGGCGAAGGCTCTTTTTCCGCCAACTGAGCAGGCGGAGGAGCCATAGATGCTCTTGGATCACTAGTGCTCCGCGACGGCGGAGGTAATGGGGGCTCCTGCGAAGGTGTTGAAGTTGGTGGGCGGGATGGCATAGGCTGCATATTTCTGGAAAAGTCTGCTTCGCTAGATGGCTGAGTTGATAACTGGAAGACTTGGACTGGGATACCAGAGCGAGACCGTTTCTCCTTTGTGACATTGGCCTTGAATACTGGTGCGACGGCGACTGGATGGGGGAGCTGCTTGATAGCTTCATCCTCGAACAGGTCATCGACGCTACCGCTCATGAATCCAGAATCAGCGGGTTGGCCCATGGGCATAGGCATTGGGGGGAGAATGGGGCTGGAAGCTGGCGGGCTCGAACGCACGAAGCTCACTGTGCGAGGGACAGGCGGTGACGACCCAATAGCGGCAGGACTGTCTTCAGAGTACATCGGAGATGCAGCTTCAGAATCCACAGGCGAACGGCCATCCTGCTGACTGGGAGACAGGGCGAAGGGAGGCTCAGAAAAAACAGGCTGGCTTGGGGGTGTCGCAGCTTGGCTCAGAGTCGACTGCCGACGGAGCTTGCTACCATTAGCAGCTTTGCCAGCCGGCTTCGACGGCCCCCTGTCAGGGACTGGTGTAGGGGCTCTGGGGACCTCCAGCATATGGGAACCCATGGGAGCGTCAGCAGGGCTGCCCGCTGGCCTCAGGCTCCGCAAGGAGCCAGATGTGCTAGCTGCCACTCGCAATAGCTCTGGACCGCCTCCAAATGGGGTGTTGATGTTGTTGTTGACCTGAGTGGTGGTAGCCCTCTTCTTCTTTGCTGGACCCTCATCGCCATCGGTTCCATCTTCGTATCCTGAGGTGTTGCCTTGGTTCTCAGCTCGTGGTTGCTTGCGAGGTCGGCCACGAGGGCGTCCGGTAGGCTTTGACTTCCTGGATCGGTTGGATGCCCTGGATGAGGGTCTCGAAGGTGGATTGGCCTGGGGTTCGGTTGCTGTGTCAACAGGCGTCGGGGCAACGCGATTGGGTCCTTCAGAGTTTTGGACCTGTTGTTGAGGTGGCTGAGGCAGTTGAGGCAGCATTTGCGGCGGCATCTGTTGCTGTTGCTGCTGCTGCTGTTGCGGTGGCGGCGGTTGTTGTGGTGGTGGTGTGTTGTAGTTGAATGAGTCGTTGCGCTGCATCGGCGGCTGGTACTCGTGTTGGTTTGGGGGTGGGTGAGGCGAAGCAACTCTGGCAGGGTGTTGCTGGCTGGCCATTTGAGGATTTGATTGCATGAATGCGTTCCACTCGGCATGGCTCGATGGCGTGACGACGCCCTCAGCCGGTCTGGCAGGCTGCATCTCAACGCTCATGTGGCTCTCGGAGCGCTGAAGGGTGTGTCGAAAGTCTGGCTTCATTTCGGGCTCGTACTGCGGTCGTGCCATGGCGGCCACGGGTTTCAACTTGAACTTGATCTCCAAGATATCCTTCACGCCTCCGCTAAAGACTGAAAGGGGATTCCTGGTGGCACGTCCAATGATTCTCTTGTCGTCGGCGTGATTAACGATCCAGCCAAGCAGGCCTTGGCCAACAAGGGGTTCGTCCGGTTCCGAGTAGTCGTATGCGTAGACGGCAAAGTCGCGGGTGCTGTCGCTGAGAAGCTCGGGGCTGCACCTAGCAACCGCCTGAGCACATATGCTGAGGTCGACCATACCAATAGTACGCTTCTCGTCAATTGGGACCGTTTGGATAGGCAGTAGCTGGGGATGCCGCGCCAGAAAACTCTCGCCATTGTCGGCGAATGTGTATGTGACCTTGACTATAGAATCGCGTCAGTAACACTCCCAAAGCACCAGGACAGAAAGTCCTTACGGCCCATAGTCTTGATCTGAACCCCCATCTCCTCGGCCTCCTGCGTTGGAGGCGGTGTTGGTCTGGCCTGGCCGTTTCCTCCCCAATTGCCCATGGGGGCTACGGGCATTGGCGACGCCATGGTAGGCGAGGCTCTCAGTGCCGGATCGTGTGTTGGTCCAGTTTGGTGGGTGTCGACGTGTATAGAGGAGAGGAAGGTTGAATTGGGAAGGTCGACGATATCGAAGGGCGGTGACCAAGGGTGGAAAAAGGAAAAAGGGAAAGTTTAAAGTGGAGGAGAGATTTGGGTGGAAGGTGGGTTGGCAATTGGTGTTTGTAGAGTGGTGTAAAGTGGTAAAGTGGTAAAGTGCAGGCGTCACGTAAGAAACCGCGGGGCGGGTATCATGGCCGTGGTCGTGAAGTAGTCGCGTCCTGCGTCCAGCTTTGGTGTAAGTCGCGTTTTTGAGAAAGTGGATCAACCACTTAGACCCCCTGCGCGACTACCTTTTAGGACAGAAACTCGTCCGAGACAACCTGCAGCAGCTTGTTTGCAGGCCTCAAACGAACGAAGAAAACGAAGATCGAGGAATTGGCAAACCAAACTTCAAGTTGAAGTACAAAAGACTGGGTTAAGATGTTGAGGCAGAGGTATTCGTACGCAGAGGAAGCAATAATACGACGAAAAGACTGCAGTTGTGTCGCGTGTATTGGAGATACAGCGAGTCGCAGGTCACGGCACAAACTGGGTTAGGCGGGTCCGCTCTGTGACGTTGGACCAGGGGGTTGCTCTCGCCTGGCTTCCTAGCGCGGACAGCCGAATCCAGAACGCGCCCAAACACGTGCAGGCACGCTTTCTCGTTTGTCCCGCGACTGAGACTTCGAAGTCTCCGGATGGTCCGTGCGCGAGTTGGGTTACCTTACGTAAGAAAGCTGGGATCAAGACCTCTCTGCTGGAGCCTTGATGGGAACGGCGGGCGGTTGCTGAGTGAATGCCGGAAGTGGGTCCCTCTTTCGCTTCTCGGGAGTGGGTGGGGGCCCTGGTCAGCCGATTCCTCACCTCTCTTTTGGTCGGACTTTGTGCTTGCAACCGGGGCCTTCTCCGGAGACAGGTCCAGGCGCCCGAACTTGCAACTGGAGATTGAAGAAAACAGGAGGGAAATTCTGTATGAGATTCCTTCTTTTCCCCTGACCGAAGACGGCGGGGCCCCGTCCCTCTTTATACTTGTCCCCCCTGAAGCCTGAGGTCTCTCCTGGTCCCCATCTTCTCTCGCCTGCGTTGTCTGTACAATCCCACGGGCCAGCTGGGTAGGTTGGTTTGCTCTTTTCCCATTCATCATTCATCACTCCCATTCCATCCGTTTCAATGCTTTTTTTCGTCGCTAGCGTTCTACCCATGACTCATCTCCACCTACCTTTGCTATCCGCAACAGAGTTTGGCCAGCCTAGTGTCACCGGCCCAATGAAAGTGAAGCCATTCTGCGCCAATCTCTTCACCCATCTTGCCACTTTTCCGAGGTTTAAGTGATGACTGTGATGGCGACATCCGAACCGTCAAATGGTTCGCGCGTTAACTCCGACGTCTCATGAGGCTGCCGACCGCAGGCAACACTACCGCAACCAACACCCGGACCTATTAGAATGAAGTCATTCTTACCCCAACTTTCCTCTCAATCTCGTCCACGATGAAGTTTAGTTATCGAAACATCTCAAAACCCAGTTGGCCAATCAGCTACGATTAGCTTGTTATCGCTCAAAACCAAGCCCCCAATGAGATGAAGCTATTTTGGCAATCAGTGCACGTCCATTGCAGCACTTGAACGCAAAGGTGACTTCTTTTTTGTTTATTCAGACACGTAATGAAGCATCTACAGTATTATACACACCTACGCTCCAGAGAGACATCGGCGAACTTTCATTCGCTCCGCACGCCTACCAGATACCACTTTCTTCCCAAACCGCACGGCCTTTGTCGTTCACAGACGTTCTCCTGGCCAAGATGTCCTCGACAACCTGCTTGACACCCTGGCGGCCATTGCTGTCCTTCACCATCTTATTCAACACCTGCTTAGGCGAGTACTGGCCCTCGATGACGACCTCCTTGACGTCCTTCTCGGTTGGCAATCCGAAGTAGAAGGGGTATTCAGAGTAGTTGCGGTTGTTCAGCAATTCTAGCTCATCGCCTTCCTTCTGGAAGAACGCGTCGACATCCTGGGTCTTGACGGCGTCCAAAGTGGCTGGTTGCCACTTGGGGGTCTCCTTGCGCACTAACAGCGCAGTCACGCCCTCGGAGAAGTCGGGGTGCTTCATGAACTTGGTCGCAATCTGGTGCTCGTGTTGGAATGTCTTCCCAATACCCCACTCGCGACCAACGCGCATTTGCTTCAAAGCGACATTGACGGCCGTAGGCGAGCGCTGGTGCAGCGTATCCAGCGTCTTCTCGGCCCACTCCTTGGTCTCACCCTCCTCAGCCTTAAGCGACTCAATGATCCCTTGGAGGCTGCTCCTTGAGAAACAGCGATCAATAGCCTCGCGAAGCTCACCGGCGATAAGCATGGGCTCGTCGAACGGCAGACCGGTGGCGTACTCCTCGAGCGTCGCTGCAATGATCTTCAGGCGCTTGTCCATACTATCCTGGTCCTCGAAGTGGATTTCAGCCAGACGAGATTCGAGCTGAGGCAGTGAAGTCGAGTGCAGGTAATGCGTAGCAAGACCCGAGTAGAACACATTCACGCCCTTGAGTCGCTCGCTTGTGAGGGCGAGGTAGGTGCCGACGTAGCCCTGCAGTCTAGGCAGGAAGAAAGAGGCACCGACGTCGGGGAAGAAACCAATCGTCGTCTCGGGCATGGCGAAGACGGTGCGCTCGGTAGCAATACGGAAGGGCGCGTGGACGCTGAGGCCGACGCCGCCACCCATCGTGATGCCGTCCATGAAAGCGACGTATGGCTTCTTGTATGTGGCGATGTAGTGGTCCAGCATGTACTCGAGCGCAAAGTAGTCCGAGCTCTTCTTCCACCCGTCCTTGCTTTCCAGATTGTACTTGGCCAGCTCGGCGACATCTCCGCCGGCGCAGAAAGCCTTTTCACCGGCTCCCTTCATAACCACCACGTTCGCCATGTCGGACTTCGACCACTCCACCAACCTCGGCAAAATCTTGCGGATCATGCTGGCGTTCAACGAGTTGAGCTTCTTCGGGCGATTCAGCTGGATGGTCCGCAGACCGTAGAGACTGTTGAAGAGGACATCATCGGGATCGTCATTGCGGCGCTCCTGGAATTCGGCTGGGACTTTTGTAGACATCTATGCGGGCATGCAGTTAGCGCCTCACTTTCTGGCAGGTTTCTCAATTGAGTAAAACAACTGACCTGTGCGCTTGACGAAGCTTGCGCACCAAGAATCTTTGCTCTGAGAGGCATGCCGAAGCTTCTGCTGCAGCTCCTGCAAGGAGCAGCTAGTGCTGCCGACCCGGCTCGTACTGAAATCGTCCTGGAGAACATTTATTTGTGTGCCAGCTGCCTATGCGCTCGTCTAGGACAAGCGGCGCATCGACTGGGGGTTGGCGGGCTCGTGGAACGGAGGGGTGGAGGGATGGTGTTGGTCGAAGAGTCCAGGATTGATTTAGACGACGCCGCGGGAATGATTTTCCATGCTCCTCACCACCAAAAATTGAGGCCGAGGATACCCACGGGCATCATAAGGCAATTGGATGGTTCCAGCGGTCGGGATGGTGCACTGGCCATGCGTGCGGGTGCCATTCTGCTCCACTAAAGCTGGCGCACCTTGAGCTTTGCCTGGGTGCCCGCGCTGTAGATGGACGGGAGCACTTTTTTGCCAGCGCCGACTTCACTGGACAGGTGCAGCCAATCAGCGCACCATCCGCTGAGCAGCAAGCACCGCCAAACTCTTTCAGCCTTGCTGTGGCCTACATCAAAAGTATCACTCGCGACGTTACTTATCCACTTCCACATACCACCACCATCTCCCCGCCATAACCGCCCATCATGTCGACCGACCCCAAGATCCAGTTCGTCCCCTGTTCCCCAGCTGAAAGAAAAGATTGTGACGCTGACATGCGCAACGCAGGGAGCTTCTCACCAAGCCTCGTAACGAGCTCACCGAGTACGAGATCGCCCAGCTCGAGGAGCACGAGTTCAGCGCCGGACCCCTCTCCATCCTCCAGACCGCCGTGCGCAGCCACACCCAGGTTCTCATCTCCATCAGAAACAACCGCAAGCTCCTGGCGCGCGTCAAGGCTTTCGACAGACACTGCAATATGGTTCTCGAGAACGTGAAGGTGCGACCATCTAAACCCGCTGTGGATCATCAGACGGAAGAGCATCAAGGAACACAGGCGCTGACTTTGGATCGCAGGAAATGTGGACAGAGACCCCGCGTCTGGCCAACGGCAAGAAGGGCCGTCCCGTCAACAAGGACCGTTTCATCAGCAAAATGTCAGTACACACTTGCTGGCAACACGACGCGCCGGCCCCCGTTCCCGACATGACAACATCGCAAGCTAACATACGATGCAGGTTCCTCCGCGGTGATAGTGTCATCCTGGTTCTCCTGAGCTGAAGGAGCTGTACATCTACGAACGAGTTCAGAATCTTAGTCTTTTTACGACCGTCCACGAACCCTGCATCATCCGCGACGCGTCGCCGGGAAGAGAGCGATAGGGCCACGATGCCCTACGCCCGCATCAAAATCAAGCGATACGGAAATGTAAGCTGCTGGAAAGGAGCTGTTCAATTGAGATATAGTCGCCACGTGAGAAAAGAGCGACGGGCGAGTCAATGAGGGCGGAGACATTGCGTCAAAATACCCACGGTAGAGTGGCTTTCTTTAAAAACGGGACAAATTTGGCGTTGAAGAGACAAATAGGATCATTGGTGTTTTTTTCTCTGTGCTACCATGGCCGTCAATTTCCCGACATTGCTGCATTTTGCCGCTTTCCAAACACATGTGCAACCGCCCCTTCCAGCCCCTGAATCGCTTTTCCCTCCCAATCAAGAAAATTATAACAAGATGCGTCTAAACGCAGGATATCAAAAAATAGCTCCCTCTTTTTACAACTTCTCCCACCCGTCCTCCTCGCCAGCAAGACCGGAGAAGAAGCAGCTCAGGCCCCACGCACCAGGGTCGGGGACCTGCTCGAAGCCGGAACCGCCAATGTACACCGTCCGGCCGAGACTGGCCTTCATGCCCTTGGTCTTCTCGGCGCCGGCGCGCGCCGCCTCGGCAGCCTTCTTGACGTCGCCCGTCTCACCGAGGGTCTCGACGAAGGGGTACAGCGCATCGACGAGCGTGCGGTCGCCGGGGCGCGCGGGGGTGTAGCGCGACATGGCGTCGCTGCTCTGCTTGAGGGCGGCGGCCCAGACCTTGGGGTCGGCAGTGCCAGGGGCGAGGCTGCGGAGGGCGCCGACGAGGGCGTTGAGGAAGATGGCGTAGAGGGCGCCCGAGGTGCCGTCCATTGTGTTCTCGACAACGGGGACCGCGGAGGCCAGGTCGACGACGGCGTCGCCCGTCAGGGGCTTTTCGGAGATGTGCTTGAGAATGGCTGGGTTTTGAATGTTAGCTTGCCGTGCGATGTCTCAATCTGGTTTTTGAACTTACCCTCAGCTCCTCTCTTCAGGCCGATGCCGCAGTCGCCGTCGCCGACAATTGTGTCGTACTTGGTGACCTCGGGCTCGGCAGCAATAATGCGGTTCAAAGCATTGGTGATGGTCTTGGTAGCGGACGCAGCGTCGTACTTGAGATCGCTGGGCTTAGTGGCCTGCTCCGCGCCGCTTCCATCCTCCCTCGTGGCAGTGTTCTTAGCTTCCCAGGTCTCCTTGAGGATGGGAGACGACCAGCCGGTAGCCTCGCAAGGGGCATCCAGAAGCTGAATCATGCTGGGTCCACCGATATCCGTGTTGACAACGTTGAGCAGCGTGATGCTGAAGCCCAAACCGTTGAGAGAGGTCATGTAAGTGCCGCTCAGGATGCGGACGGGACGGATGCCGTAGCTGCCCTCAAGCTGCGAAGCAACCTCGGCTGTGATGCCGCCCAGCTCCAGGGCGCTCACACCACCGAGGTTGTTGATCAGCAGAACGACCTCGTTCGAGTTGACGTTGAGGAACGCCCGGTCCTTGTCGTTCTGGTCCAGCAGCTGCGTGAGCATCTTGGCCACCAGCTCCGGCAGATCCGCCTTCACCCTGCCGGAGCCGGGCTCGTTGTGAATGCCCATGCCCAGCTCCGCCTCGCCGAGCTGCAGCGCACCCTCGTCCTTCTCGCTGGGGATCGTGCGACCCGGAACGTGGACGTGCTCCAGACTGGCTCCGACACTGACGAGGTTGTCCGCGGTGAGGCGCGCGACCTTGGCGACCTCGCTGAGGGGCCGTCCCTGGGCCGCCAGCGCGCCGGCGATCTTGTGCACGAGCACGGTGCCGGCAATACCTCTGCGACCGACCTTGCCGGCCTTGGCGCGTCCGACGCCGACGTCGTCGCCAACGACCACCATCTCGACCTCAAGCCCCTGGGCGCGGGCCTTCTCGACGGCCATGCCAAAGTTCAGGACGTCGCCGGTGTAGTTCATGACGGTGACCAGGACTCCCTTTGACGTGTCGACGCGCGAGGCGATGGCGGTGCGGACCTGCTCGGCGCTGGGGCTGGCGAAGATGGTTCCCGCGACGGCGGCGGAGAGAAGTCCCTTGCCGACCATGGCGGAGAACGAGGGCTCGTGGCCGGAGCCGCCGCCGCTGATCACGGAGGTCTGGGGCGCGGCATTGGCGGTCGGTCTGAGGTAGATGATCTTGTTCGTCTTGTCGAGGGCGAGGCTCGGGTTCGTCAGCGTGAGGCTGTGAAGGGCCGTGTTCACCAGCTTGGTGGGATCATTGATGAAATGCTTGGCTGACATCTTGACGGGAGGTTTCGATCTTGTTCCCTTTCAGGGCCGGTCTGTCGAGTTGAGATGAGTGAGGCGAGATTAGACGAGTCTGAAGCTCTAAGGAGAAAAGATCACGCAACAGAAGAACGGACGACGATCTAGATGGCCTCGGGATACACGAGGGCTACCGAAGCAAATGAGGGGAGATGAGAACAGAACCCCGCGAAAAGGATTCTGGATGGCACCGGGAAGAACCCGACTCTATGTAAGTCGGGTGTTGGCCCCCGAGGGAACTGGACGACCATGACGTCCCACCAGCGCCCATCCTCCTGTACAGGTGCCGCGGGGTGAAGCGGGGCCGCGGGGGGAGGTTGCACCCACTTCGGGAAAGTGTAAGCGCTCGGGTTTACGCCGATGGTCAAAATTGGGAGATTTTAAGCTCTCCGCGCTAGAGAAATGAAGAGACATTTCCCAACCTTCACGACAGCAACTGTTGCCGTGTCGGAGCTAGCCATGAATCAAAAATTGAGGCATACTAAGCGCACGTCGCTTGCAAAGACCTCCGAAAAACAGTCATTCAAATTCACTCGACAAGTTCACACGAGGTGCAAAGACTCGAAGCAGATAGGGAAGTCTAGGCGAAGACTTGGCTGGCGGACAGATTTCAAAATAAGAATAAAATATGTATGTATATGTATGTATGTAGGGTATATCATCAACCCAAACCCTCTCTGGAGGGATATTTTCAGCAATTGCTGCCGCCCCGGCCATACCATGCGAAAACCGCTCTCAAAGCTGGTTTGTTCCTCAACGCCGTGTCCAATGCCAAGTCCGAATTAGATGCCAGCGAAACCCAAAGACAGTTACTGATGATGCACACTCATCATTTCATGATGAAGAAGCATCCGCCAACGACGCTGAGAACCATGGCTGTCGTGGCGAAGCCGGCGGCTACCCTGTCCTTGGTCTCGATTGGCGGTAATGTGGGAATCTTAGGCTGCAAGCTCATGCCGGCATTGGGGTTGCCGACTGAAGTTCCTCCAGTATCGGCCGTCACCGGTGCGGTCTTGACATCGGACTTCTTCACCAGCATATACATGGCCGCATCGAGAGCGCTCATCTGAGGACCCACGCCGACCAGACCGTCGAATTGGCCTTTGGGGTTCCACTTGAAGCCGCAGGCCGTTCCGGGTTTGCCTTTGAATCCAGTAGCCGGCGATCCGTTGCAGACCGACATGGCTAGCTCGGCGTTGGGCCTCAAGAGACCCATGATCTTGTCGAACAAGTCCGGTACGACCTGCGCGGTCCCAGCCATCCAACGAACCAAATAGCCCTTGAAAGTCTGCTGGTCAATGTCGCATAGGGTAAAAGGCTCGCAAGCCTGCTCGCTGATGGCGCTCTGGTTGAAAAAAAGCGTGGTCGCTTCGGTGAGGACGCCCTCGGTGCGGGTAAACCACTTCTTGTCTTGGGTATGGTTGTACATGACGGCAGCGCCGTGCATGAAAATACCCGCGTTGTAAGACCATTGGATCGTATCCTTGTCCTGGCAGTTCTTGCCGTTGTCGACTCCTGCACCGTCGTAGATCTTGAAGTCAGGCGTGATCAACCCAATGCTCGTCTCCCAATCCCAAATCTTTTCCGCCCAGTCGGCATATGTCTGGTTACCCGTAAACCTTGCTAGTCGAGCAGCAATATTGAAAAAACAGCCGTTGGAGATGGAGTTCTTGTAGTTGAAGCCGTTGTTGAAAGTGAAGATCTGCCACCGCAATCCGCCGCCGCACGTTTCGGTATCCCAACGGGTGACATATTGATTGAAAACGGCCTGGGCGAGCGCTAGCCATTGGGGCTGGTCTTTCGGTGGGTCCGGGAATTTGTTCTCTGCTGCACTCATCGCCGCCATCGCCCAAAATCCCTGGTCGTCGTTTCCTTCGCTCTTAGTCTGGTTTCGTGGCATGAAGTCGGCGTCCTCTCCAGCCTGGTGAAGCATGGCCTGCGTTGTCACGTCGTTGTAGGTTGAGTCTCCAGTCAACAGCCAGTAGTCGATCATCGTTCCAAACATCGCTCCTGCCTCCCACCCTGTGAGTTGTTAGTGAGGATCCTAGCTGATGGTTGAGTGTGCTCCTACAGAAATAAGGGTCTGGCAGGTTTCCTGGCACGTCACCAGTGTTGTTTCCTGTGTAGAACTTCAACAGACCAAAAGCAATCGTGCTCGCTCCATCCTTGATCGATTGATCACTGTTGAAATTGACTGTAACTGCAGCGTCTGCCAGCTGGCCCAGCACGCATGCCGCACTAGCGAACTTGAGAAGCCCCCTCATGGTTGGATGTGATTTGATGTGTGCGATGACCGAGTTGAAGGTCGGGGTCGGCGACCAGAGGAAACAGACTCGTCGAAGGCTCTGTCGTTGATATCGTCGTTCTTCCTTATTCCTTTGGTAATCCTAAGTGTAGTTGTTCATCGACGTCTTCCTCCCGAGGCGACTATATCGAATGTACCGTTGGACCCAGCTAAGAAAAGAAAGTAATAATAAAGAGATACTCGTGACAAACTCAAAATTCGAAATAGGGTCGCCTGGACTGTAGGAGGAAGAAGAGAAACAATGAAACAAGAATATGAATAGCGAGACTCGACCAGGAGTGAGTAAAGAATGGAATAGAGAAGTCGTAAACGATTTCTCGTTCAACGAAAAGAAAGGAACACTCCAGAGGGAAACAGAACCAATGAAGCCCAGATGAGAGTGCACCAAAGGTGGTAAAAGGAAGGAAAGATGGAATGACGTGGGGAACCAGAAGGGAAGAGAGACATGCAGACCTGCAGGACTGACTGGCTGTCTTGCAGCGGGAAGGGGAACGAGCGCCATAGCCGAGTTTGGACGACTTTTTTCTTCCAGTCTCGAGACGCCTCTTGCACCGCGGACCCCGTATTTTCCTCGAGGTTTCCAGACCTGGTAGCCCTTGCATCGTGTTGCATCGCCATGAACCGCACCTCCTTTTCCTTCGAGTTTGCGTGCCTGATAGCCGTGCAAGTCACCGGGGCCCCTAGCCCCACGAGTCCACGACAGTCAGCGAGACTCCTCGACGACTGCGAAAAACAAGTGAGAAAAAAACCGGGATCTCGTGGGCATGCGTGGGCGAGGCGAGCGAGGCGGTGCGGTCGGGTTTGGGAGAGGTGAAACGGTTGCGGTTCGAACTTGGCAGCCTCTCCGTCTCAAGATGGGCCGCAGGCCCCCTGTTACTCCAAGACGTGTAACCGGAAAGACCAAGGGACGTGTAAACAACTTAAGCTCGTATGCCAAGCCTTTAGAAGATCTGGATCTTTCCTGGCGGGAGAGGACTCAAAAGAGGCTCTTTGCGTTCCTCGCCTGTCTCTCTCTCTCCAATTAGCTTTTGCGTTGTGTTTCCCTCACGAACCGCCCGGGCAACAGTAGCCGACACAACTCTCGTGTTGCAAGTATGGGGAACGAACATCTCTCTAAACTTGGAAATTTTCAGTGGGCAATGACACGACCACGAACGCCGTGGAGTCGCTTGCCACATTTCTCGTCCGGAGAGCGCAAACAATGGACGATGCATCTCTGCGTCAGCATGAACTCGCAGCGCCTTGCAGCGAAAGCGAGGTCCATATCCGATGTTGCTTGTTGTTGCCAAATTGATGTTCGGCAGAGTTGCTGTCACGCTGCACGCCCAGCGTCGAAACCCCTGGAGGCTCTTGGTCCGTGCCCCACACTCCCGCCCAGTTCCATGCCCAGGGCCCTCGTCCATGTCTCCCCTCCTTTCCCTCAATCCATCGATTGGCTTCTCACGAGAACTGCTGCATGACTATTTTCGTCTAGGTAGCCCCTGGGTTGGGATGGTCGCAGCGGGTGTTCCTCAGCCCGAACACCCATACACGCAGCTACCCACACACACACATCACCAACTCAATCATGTCAAGATTGAGGGTGACGTCTGCGCCTCACAGGCCAACGCTCACAGGCCTTGGTGCGTTTAAGGTTGCGAGGGCCTGAAAATATCAAATATCCCGCCCCCTCCGCGCTAAAAGATTCTCTGAACTTCAATCGATCGACCGAGGCGAAGCCAAACCTCTCCCAAGCACATGAGTGCCGCGGACCCGGTGTCGTGCGAGATCTGCTTGTGGACGACTTATTTGCACGTGGAGAGGAGACAGATCATCTTGGCCCCAAGGCCGATCCCCGGGTACCCATTACTAACTTCTTGTATCAAGCTTTCGTGAAAGAGAGGTCTGTTGTTCCACCAAGTCCTTGGCTTAGTGGACTACTGGTTTCGATGACAAGTCAGTCAGTCGTGTTTGGCGGCAAAAGAAAACACGACCAGTACATCATCCACCAGAACCTTTTCCACAAACAACTACGCAGCAGCGTCGCAAAGATCGGCCAAAATTCAGTTCCACGGGACGTATTTTTTATCCCGTTCTGGTACCTCCGGATACGACTATGCCATAATAGAGGGAAACCATGCGAGCCCCCGAAGTGTTATTAAATACCAATAGCATCTTTGGCGGAAGCATTATGGATACACCACAGCACCACAGGAGCGACCACATTGACGTCCCTTACAACGGCTCACCCAACAGGAGGGGCTTCCACGTATCTTCAACACTAAATAAAACTATGTGCTCATCCGCTGCAGCCGTTTTCGACGTAAATTCTCGCTGATGTTTAATGTTGGTAGCTCCGTGAAAGCATCCTGCTCTGCACTTTCCGCACCCTAAACTCCTCGAAAAGGGTTGGACGAACCAGCCGTTTTATTAATTGGGCACCTGAAACGGAACAAATGGTTGAACCGCTATGTCTAATAACCTCTTCTTATGCTTTAAAGGTATACTTGCTTGGCTGCCTGGGTGTTGCAGGAATTTGATCTCCCTATGTCGATGAGTTGACCGAAATAGGTGCGACACTGGCTCACTAAATAAACCACAGGTTGAATCGGCACTCTTGTGTCGCTGAAGAAGACACTTGATCAGATTGTTCCAATTTACTCCATTTCGTACAGACAATTAGTCTCTAAGTATCTCATAGCATCTATCGGCTTCTAAGCCGTGGTGTATAAGCTCATCATAATACTCGTCCGTTTCTCATTTCATTCATTCGTGCATGTTATCATTCCCATTTTTCCCATTCCTGTAGCAGCTTCTTGCTTTCTTCCCTTGCCCAGAGGGACCTCTCCTGCTCCAGCTTGGACAATCGTTTGTATGTCTCGACGAACATCTTCTGCCGCTCGAGTACCTTGACCTCAAGGTACTTTGGATCGTTACGGCGGCAAGCCTTGTCAAATACGGCTCTCATTCGAGCCGAGTACAGCTGGCACGTTGCATCCTCGAGGCGTTGGGGCTTCACGTAGAAGTTCCGCGCAATGACGTTGCCTTCTTTCAATTGAGGTGCCACCACCTCGTCAAAGCAGTCACCGCATACGGTGAACTGCGGGAGGTACTGCATGATGTGCCAATTTTGGTCAAAAACTGGGTTGTCCTTGCAGCACTCAGTGAAAACCGATAGACTCTCGATATCGCTCACAAGCTTGGCAATGTTTGGCGGCTGTGCTGTAGCGAGAGCCACATCTGACGTGGTCTCCAATGCGTCAAAGTACATCACGAAACGCTTCCGATCAGGATTGTAGTGCATTGCACAAGTGCTCCGGGTCGGCTGCGCTGAAGGGTGCAAAGTGACAAACACGCCTAGCAGATTGGGTAACAGTCCCTCGACTGTTTTGGCACACTCGTGACAGACGGTGAAATCCGGCATGGTCGTCTGCGTATATGGGTTCTTGAGGGAATACCAGACGCGCGTGACGCGACGATCTCCGGGACAGGGACTGCTGCTAGTCACCTTGCTGGCGACATTGGCGACCTGGTAGAAAAGGCGCAAGTCTGTATGTCGGTTTTTCAATGTAAGGAGCCACGCAATGTGGTACCACCCAATCGAGCCAAAATCACAAGCAATTGGCTTGTCCATTGGCCGAAACAGCATGGGCATGAAGTCATTGCGGAATTCCGTGTTCAGAAAAACTCCGTTGTAGCAGTCAGGGCAGATGTTGAAGTTGTCGCAACGTGGCAGACTAAGCCAGTCGGCGCAACCAACAACGCCGTTTTTTCGAGGGCACTCAGGAAAGTCAGGCACGCCCCCTCTGTCGGCGTCATGCGAGTACCGCCGATAGCTGCCTCTTGGTCCATCAAGGGCAAGCGCGCTCTTTGTAGGATCGAACCTGGCCGGTGGCCATGCATCTGCTTGTGAGACTATCGCAGCAGGTTGCGTGATAGGTCTTCTTTCGGGCGATCTCCTCTTCTCATTTGGGCTTCGTGGTCCAGCAGGAACAGGCATGGGCGGCATGACTGCTGGCATCACTACGGTGTTGTTGAAAGTAGATGCACGAGAGCGCGAGCGAGCTCTAGATACACGTTCAGGCTCGCGAGCGCTGAGACGGCTCGTGCTAGGCAGGATATCATCCTCAGGATACGGTGTAGTGGGCTTCTCCCGCACATCACCACTCTCCCTCGGGTCTTTGATGATAGGAAAAGTTGCCGAGACGCGAGGTGGAGGAGGGAGATCCTCGCCGAAAGACTTGGTTGATACCCGCGGGGATGGGTTGACAATTTCAGCTGGCGCACGAGACCTAGATCTGCCGGATTGAGACGGCCGGGTCTGCTCGGGGCTCAATAGAACATCTCTGCTCTCTCTGCCCTCCTGGTTCACAATTGACCTTCTCCTTCGGGCATTGGCCGTCCGGGGGGTGTGCGAATAATCGCTGCTGCTGGAGCCGCTGTCATCCCGTCGACGTGGCGAGTCGCGCTTGTAGGTTGGAGTCCGTTTCGTCTCACGCTCACGGTCACGATCCCGTTCTCGCTCACGGTCCCGTTCGCGATCTCGGTCGCGCTCTCTGTCCTGCTCCGATCGATCGTACGGCGTGGTGGGATCTTTCTTCTCTGGTCGCTCACCACGGGGTACGATGCGTTCACGCTGGTGACGAGGAGTCTCAGGGACTCTGTCCCCGGAAGACTGCCTGGGCTCCTTGGGAGAATCAAAGTTCGTGTTCGAGCGCCTAGCTGGTGGGGGATTCGACGACGATTGCCTTCCATAATTATCGTCGAACCGCCTTTGGTCTGCGAGGTTCGAATAACTTCGTTGGGGCCGCGGTACACCGTTTCGACCGGCCTGGGAGTAATCGTAGTAGACCTTTTCTCGACCGCCTGTTGCGTGCTTGATGACCTTGGGGGATAGCAATGTCTCGTTCGGTTGCCGCTTGTCGTACTGGGCAGAGAAGTAGTCGGCTTTCTGTTCTGCACGAGTGCCTGACTTCGTTCGCTCGTGTCTCCGAACACGCGGCTCCTCTTCTTTGATGTCGGTCTCGATCTTGGGCAAGTCCTGTCTGCTCTTTCTCTTCTCAATGCCTGGCCGTTTGGCGGTGTCTGGGTCATCAACTCGCGGCGCATAATATTTCCTTGATGTGTTCGCGCCATAATCTTCGTTGAGTCTTGTCTTGGCAGAACGCGAGCCGCCGGAGGAACGCGATTTTGCGTCGTCTGACGAGGAGTCTCCGTCTCCTCCCTCACTGTCGGATTTCGGGATGATCACGAAACGGCGTTCAGGGTTGTACTCATGTACCTCCATAATGATGGGGTGTTGTTCGGCGTCTCCTCGTGAAGGAGGCTCATCGTCTGACGCCGACACGACGCTGCCGTGTTCTTTGAGAAGTGATTCTGTCTCATCTTCACAGGTTGGGGGAGGCGGGTAATTCCTGCGGCGGGAAGTTCTTATCGGCGCATCGAATGTGCGGGGGACATAGGCATCGGCGTAGTAGCTTGAGCGGGTTATAGTAGATGTATGAGGCGGCGGTACGACGGCATCGGCGTAGTAGCTCGAGCGGGTTATGGTAGATGTATGAGGCGGTACGGCCGGGGGCTCCGGTGTGGATCTGTAGTTTGGGTCAGAACTTTGGTTGCGCATTGGAGAGGAGATGTGTGGTCTTGGCTCGGCTTACGGCTTGGGAGTCTTGGCCCTAGTAGTGGTGAAATAGCCCGTCTGTAGAAGATCTTCAATATTGCGTGAATCGTTCATGTTTGGTTATCTGTATGACCAAGGTAAAAGGGTACAGAATCTCAGGAAGATGTCGGGGTCTTTGAAGGCATTGTGTGTCTCTCGGCTCGGCGAGAGCGGGAGCGTCGTAATGCGGTCTCTTGTGTGGCCGCCTCAGCCTTGCGCAACGTTTCGGTCCCTCAGCTTGGGTCGGGACGTTGGCTTGGGTCGCACTGGCGGTAATCGTCACAGCCAACAGAGCTGATTTACCAGTAGATCGAATCCCGAGTTGCGATGCTGACTTGATACGTTGAGATCAGATTTTCGGCAGAGGGTGAGAGCGAGAGTCGAGGTGAGTTCCAAGTGGTCGTGGCGGGTGGAGGATGGGGGGGAGCAGGCGTTGATGTTAATTAAGGTGAGATGCCTGCGGGTGGAGGTGGAAGGCACGGGAATCTGGGCGGACGGGTTTGGACACGGAAGCGGTTGGCAAGGTAGGACCGACTAGATCGAGTGAATGCGCGAGCGAGGTGAGATCGCTTAAGACAGACAGCGTAGGCAGGTAAGGTATCTGGTGGTGTCAGGCGGAGAGGGGGAAGGTGGGATTTTGGGGAGCGGCGTTGAAGATGCGGCGTAGGTGCAAGAAGTCCTTATTTGAACATGGAAGGCCATGGTCATGGTCATGGGCGAGCAGGGGTGCATGGCATTGGCATTGGGTGGGAGGGGGTGCCCCTCCATGATGACGGCTGGGCTGCTGGGCTGCTGTAGGGCGGTACCTTGTACCGCACGTCTCCACCGCCTTCTGTTTTTTATTTTCCTTCCACCTCCAGCCCGGGTCCAGGGCCACCACCGCCCGCCCACCACCACCACCAATGGCACCAAATGCCCCGGGCGTTCGTTCACCTCCGACGACAGCAGAGTCCAGCCCGTGTTGTGTGCCACGGTGCTTCCCGTTGCCGTTAAAGACCAGCCGCCAACACACACCGTCGGTGCTCTGTGGTCACCGAGGTGACACCGTTCCTAACGCGACTCTTGGATGTTGTTGGATGCAAAGTTTAAGGCAGGGTCCCTCTGCTTATCGCGACACACGTCCTGCCGAAACGGCCTTGATGGCATGGCTATAGTCGCCAATCTCACGTTTATTATTGTTGTCGATGTCGCCGTCGTTCTCCGGCCGACCGTCAGCATTGATGGTTGATGAACCTGATCTTGGTCGGCGGCACATGTCTTGAACCAGGAAAACGGCCCGGCAGCGGTAACATCATCATAATCTCCACAGTCGGCGACGTCGAATACGGACACATGTCAATTGGCAATACGTAAGGCCTGTCACTGAACCATTCCAGTAGGGCATCCAGTTCAGTTCTCGGGTTGAGAGTGGCGACCGTCTCGACACGAACAAGAGCCCCTTCACCACTCACTCTCGATGTGCCAATCAATACTGCGCCATCATTAGTCGCTTTCCCCGACCTGCAGCAGTAGAAGCAGCAGCAGCATGAGCATGATGGCCATGCCCACGCACTACGACGCAGTCTGCTGCGTCCTGCAGATGGGATGTGGGATGGGCTGGATGGGACCCGTCCCAGACACCACCAAGAGTCCAAGCCTGACGTTCAAGCGTGACTTGTGAGTGCGGTCGGCCCAAGTCCAAAGCCTAGGTCTTGGTGCAATTGCATCGAGCCATCTCCACTTTCACAGCCGGTTCTCACGTCCGGCCTGCACACTGCATATGCTGGGAACCTGTTTAGGGCAACCGGCACCGTCGATTAGGTCTTCCACCTCGATGAGTCTTGAGCCTGGCACTTAGCCGACTGGTCTCTCCCACGCCTGCACCTGGCACGGTACCACGGCAGCCAGCCTGCCCATTTCCAATTATTCACGTTGCACGGATTGCCTTGACGCGGCCTGATCTTTGCCATCCTTTCCCAACGACCGTCGTCCGGTGGACAATCGCGATGGCTTCTGATATCCTGCTCCTGGTGAACCACAAGACTTACCGAGCCAGACGTGCGGAGTTGTTGGGTACGAAGGCTTGTTTGACATGTCAAGACAAAATGATACGCACAGTTACAGTGGGCTGGAGTCTGCAAGAGCGTGCGCCACGCGGAGTGCCCGTCTGCCCTTGGTCAACGTCCAACTAGTCGTGGCGATGGGGAGGCTTAGTCGGCGTTGGATGCAGAACGGCACCGCGGCAAGCACCCAACACAATGCCGGCTCCCATTCGGAGGCCGATGTCTCCAGTTTCACGAGGCGGCGTCGGTCGGGAAACATTTTGATCAACGGCGTTGGCTGCGCAAAGTGGACTCAACTGTGCCATGAAACCGACTTCACCACATCTGCACCTATCTGTCGACCTCGCCATCAAAGTCGTCGGGCCGTGAGGCTTGCACAACCCTACCCACGCAGCAGGCGAAACATACCATTTCTTATCAGGGGAGTCTAAGACCCGATCAATGACTGAAAATATGCAGCATCCCAGGCCATCTTACGTATCCCGATCGAGCCAGGCAAAGATGCTGCGACCGTGTCAGACGCCGGCAATTTTACTCCCCACCACCATGTACATTCACCCGCCCTCTATCCGCCGTCCGCCATCTGCAGTCGGGTCATGCACACGCTCCGTCAACGGTGCACTACTAAGTATGAATTTTCTAGAACATTCAAAGTCTCCGACTTCTTAGAGCTGCAACTATGTACGCCAGCTCGTCATGCGAAGATCCGTCAACCCTACCTTATTCCGATGATCTGCGCGGGAAGAAAGAGCGGTGGGAACTTGATTGCAACATATCTCACGCCACAACTGTACATGTCAACTGTGACAAGAACATCAACTTACAATCACGTCGCCGCGGTAGCATAAACTTCGTTCTAGTCAGTTCTTCTGAAGCCAATCATGGGGGCCCGTGAGTGAGGTCATCCAAGCTCATCAAGCACCGTGCATCAGCTAGCATTTAGTCACACAGAGCAGCAGTCTCTTTTCTGGTTCCTCAACAGTGTCTCAATATTTTGTATTGGTATCACAATGTGATTCCGCCCGCCTGGAAACGATCAAGCACTCGAGCCTAACACGGACTCTGCCGTCGCCCAAAGTTTCACAGGCCTCATCCGGCTCTTTGCTTTCTCTGTGCTCGCCGAGCTGCTGATGACATCGGCTGCGTACTGGCTCAAACGTGGGGAGGCAGGTAAACCTCGGCCTGTGCAACGCTCTTCGAAAGGGGACGTCGAGTTCCATCCTCGTAAGAATTCTGAATATCCTGCGCCGCCTTTCTGGCGTGTCGAGAACTGTCCGAGCACAGTACGATGCTCCGGCTCAGCCGCCCGCCGTCGATGAGATTTTTGACGAAGAAAGCATGTAGCATATGCTGCAATACCCTAATGACACGCGTCGCCGGGCACAACTTCATCCTGCCTCTTGCCTGTTGGTGAAGCCACGCAACCCGAATCTAAGTGAAAAGAAGGCCAAGCCGAAGAGGGCGACCAAGAGGATGGCCGCGCCCTGCAAAGGATCCGTGATGACACCTCTGACCACCAACAGACCACTAATGGCACTGAAAATGATGGGGTTGATGAGCCAAGTTCTGTACTCGGCCGCTTTCGCTACTGATGCACGACGGTCTCTCCGTCGAAGCAGAATGAGTCCAACAGCGGACGAGAAGAAGATCATGTACGCCGCCAGGCCTGCATTCTGTCAGTCCACGACCTGGGAGCTTGAGTGGTTGTACATACCAATGAATGTTACAAGGCCGTTGAAGCTACCCACGACAACGTAGACAACTGATAAGCCGCAGTTCAGCAGCAGTGGGAAACTGTTCCGTTCGTCAGCTAAAAACTCGGCTGGGTGGTGTCACTCTCACATGGGCACGTTTCTGCGCCAACGTCGGTTTTGCGTCCACGAAACGAAGCCTTTGATAGGCCCTCCGAGCAGCCTCGGCAAAGCAGAGAGTTGTTCATCGACATAGCCGGCTTCGTCCTTCTCATTGCTGCAATGCAGGTTCGCCAAGACAGCGGGAAAATAACCTCGCTGACTTGCAACAACTACTAGCTTGGCGGTAGCAAAGACATTCGAGTTCAGAGCGCCCATCGCCGAGATGGAGACGATTACGGAGAAGAGGACACCGGCCCAGCTGCCGAGAACCCGGTTTGCGAACTCCTATTCTGATGTCAACACGAGCATTTGCTGGCTGACAAGAGTTGCAAACTTACCACTGCCACTGTACTACTGTTCTGCATGACAGTCATTGGCAGGCAGACATACAAGGCAGCATTCATCAGCATGAAGCCAGTGATCACTAGCGTCATCGAGCCATTAATCACGATGGGCAGATCCCTACGAGGATTCTTCATGTCTCCCGCGACAAATCCTACCTACGGAACATTCAGCAGGTTGCCTGGCATAGTTAGAAGGGTTCACTCTCACCATTTCCCAGCCCGCATAACACCACAGAGCCCCAAAGGTTGCCGTCCCGAAGTTTCCTAGCCACTCCCACAGACCAACCTCACGTTGGTCGGGCCGCTGGCCGAACCACCCGTATTCAGACGAAGGGACCCCTTCCCCATGACCGAACGCCCAGACGCCGCACCCCAGAATAATGATGGTTGCAAGGGCAGCCATTTTCAGGAACAGGAACAGATTAGCCGCTTTCGCGCCCGCCGTTGCGCCCAGACAGTTGACGAGCGTCATTGTGACAATGCACCCGGCCGCTACCATCTTTGATAACCAGGGCTCCGGTGGCTGGTTGTCCGGGACGAACGCCTCGGTGAGGTAGTCGGCGAAAATGGTAGCAATCATTGAGTTCGCCGCCGGCTTGATGATGGTGCACCAGACCCATGTAAACAGAAACCCGGCAAACTCGCCGTAGCACGCCCGGAGGTACTCTTGGATCCCTCCGTTGTTGGGTATCCTCAACCCCAGCTCGATGAAGGACGCCGCGCCT